GGAGAGAGAGGGCTGAAAGATGGACTACCGAGAGACTAGCAAGGGGAACATGTGCTTGAGAGAACCTAGGCCCTCCACAACATAAGTTCTTCTATGGGATAAACTTCCTTGTAATAAACTGTCACTAAGATCAACCGGCTTGGCCCTCGTCTCTTCCTTCATCTGCACTTGGCCAACAGCCGTCCCGATGCAGGCCACACACAGCGGCTCTAGGGCACCGAACGCGGGCGGTGAGATAGAGCCGTCCAGAGAGCCCGCGAACACACAACCTTCTGCGTGCATAGTTTTTTACACAGGTCTTCTTGGTTCAGCCTTGGGAGTCTGTAGGAGTCTAGGAATTTATCCATTTCCTCGAGGTTTTGATGTTCCGTGGCATACAGTTTCTCAAAGTACTCCCTGAGGATTCTTTGAATTTCTGTAGTTTCTGTTGTAATGACCCCCTTTTCATTTCTGATTCGGTTTATTAGGGTTTTCTCTCTCCCTTTCTTTGTGAGTTTTGCTAGAGGCTTATCAATCTTGTTAATTTTCTCGAAGAACCAGCTCTTGGTTTCATTGATCTTTCGGATTGTTTTTTGGGTTTCCATCTCGTTAATCTCTGCTCTGAGTTTTATTATTTCCTTTCTCCTGTTCGGGTTGTGCTCCTTTTTTTGGTCCTTCTCCAAGAGAGCATCTACCTTTAAGACTTAAAGTTATGATTCAGTACTTGGTACCTCTGAGTGTCATCATGATGCTCCAGTGGTGTATGTGACAGCTCCGTAGTGTGTATGGGCTGTGCCATGGCAACTTCTGGACACAGTAGCCAGTGTGTAACACAACTAAAGAGCTGTGTGTTAGAATTGAGGCTTACTGAATAAGCAGCAACTCGGTGTGATCTCCTACAGAGTACAACAGACAGCTGAAATGTGTGAGCATCACAGCCAGTACGAGTTTCACTCCCAGTATGAAACAACAATCATGAAGAGAAGAAAAGGAGAGGATAATAAAAAGTAAAAAGAAAAAAAGAAAAAGGGGAACTAAAAGTGAAAGGATTGGCTTTGTTTTTTGTGAGGAGGGGAGTGTTTTATATATATATACATATACAAATATATATATATATATATAGTGTGTGTGTGTATGTGTGAATAAGAGTGATATGGTGGAGAAATATCTGAAGTTAAACTACAGTTGTTTTAAAATTTCAGTCTTTTTTCCTCCTACAGTTGATTTGTTTACTTGATCTCTCAATAAACACAGTGAACCAGGCATGACTATGAGTCAATCCCGATCATCTGAGAGCTTCATAGTTTGTCTCTCAGTGATCATTTTAGGAAGTGGGTTGTTTTAAATGGGTAAATTTTATCTATTAAATTTTCTTGTCCACTTATTTTTAGAAACATTTTGCTTTTGATATGGGGAGAGAGTTCAAAGTGTTGAAGCACATGCCTTGCATGATTAGTCCCTGAATTTAAATCCTGGATTTTCATGCTGCTCTGAGCACTTTCAGGAGTAGTGCTGGAGTGGTGGCCGCCAAGTACCTCTGGGTGTGACACAGAAACATTAGGCCCTTTCACAAATTAGTGCCAGGAGTGACCCTAGGGCTTTCTGTGCACATAGAATTCATATATATATGTATATATATATATATATATATTGCTTTTAGCTATGACATTTTTAGTACAATAAAATATCATTTTAGTATATCATTTAGTATATACTAAAATATCATTTAATATCATTTGTGTGGATATATATGTATAAATGTAAATTTACATATATATCAAGAATTGCTTTAATAATAGAGTAACAATAAATATTTGTTCCATATTTCCTCCACCCTACTTGGAGAGCCCAGCAAGCTATAGAGAGTATCCCACCCACAAAGCAGAGTCTGGCAAGCTCCCATGGCGTATTCAATATGCCAAAAACAGTAACAAGTCTCACAATGGAGACATACCTGGTGCCCACTCGAGAAAATCAATGAACAACAGGAGGACAGTGCTGTTATTTTCTTTTTAAAAAATTTTCTTTTACTTATTGTGACTCAGTTTTGCTAGAGTATGAGAGAAAGACAATGTAATTTGTCCACCCCTTTAGATAAAAATAATAGAAAAATGCAAACTAAAAATGATTATTCAACAAAAAGGAAAACAAATAACTGATATTTTTGAGGACTGGAGCAATAGCACAGCAGGTAGGGCGTTTGCCTTGAATATAGCCGACAGGGCCAACTCGAGTTTGATTCCTCTGCCTCTCTTGGAGAGTCTGGCAAGCTACCAAGAGTATCTTGCCCACACGATAAAGCCTGGCAAGCTACCCATGACATATTCGATATGCCAAACACAGTAATAAGTCTCATAATGTTATTGGGCCTGCACGAGCAAATAGATGAACAACGAGAGGACAGTGACAGTGACAGTGATATCTTTGAAAATGGAAAAATTCTGTAAATAGTCTCAGCATTTTTCCTACTGATTAGATATTTCCATCATATTTAAATTCAGCACGAATAACAAATTTTAATATATATTTGAGTTATATAGGAAATTTATTCAAAAATTTTTGTTTTCATATATCATAGTGTGTCCTCACATTAAAAATTTTTTTATAAAGTTGTTGATGGTGATTAGTTGCATTCAATATTCCCAAACCAATTCCACCACCATTGTACCTTGTCAACACCATTATTTCAAATTTTTCTAACCACCACTCAAGCTTGCCCCAAAGCAGGCTCTAAATAATTTTTTTTGTATTTCTTTTTATGAACAATTTGCTAAAATGATAAAAAAATTTCTTAGAAAATTATGTGAAGATTGTTGTATCTCACCCTGGAGCCTTTGAGCCATTATGTAAGAAATTACTGACATGTTGTTACAGATTAAGCCCGTGTGTTTATATTTTCTTAATTGAGATTGCTTCCTTCTACTTTATATCCCATGCAATATAGTTTGCTCCTTCTGATGCTACAGTGGTGCAGAACATGAGATGTCATGGCTACGTGCTCCAGAAATTAAAAAATTTTGAATGGGGTGATACAGCTGTAGTTAAATTTTTAACTGGATGGTGACTTTGGGTTCTGAAGCATTTCTATAGCTTGTTAATCTCTACAGAGATTCGTTTATGAGTTTTTGAATCATTGCTGTTTAATGAGCTTATATGGTGCCAGGGGCAGGTCATGGACGTGACTGCCAGGCTCCTGGAAGAACAAGAGGATGGGGGAAAGTTGCCCATTCCCTACTCAATGAGAAGTGGAGGTTTTGGTCACAAAATGGGTGTACCCAAGTTTTCAACAGATTCCTTCTTGAATGAGGCTCGTCCTGAGCCTGTGGAGTCTGGCTGTGAACATGGCAGATATTGGATTATGTAGGTTTTCAAGTGCAGAGGCTATGTTTGGGTGGGTGGTAGGCTCTCCTGCTCCCCTCCAGGGTGCCACAGATATGAGACTCAGCCAGGTGCAGTCTCCAGAGGCATCTCTCTGTCCTCATATTTTAACAAATGTAGATTATGTAAAATGTAATTTAAAGTGAAGAAAATGAACAAATAGGTTACAAAATTATAGGAAGAAGGATTAGGAAGTAGCTAGAGTTCACTAAATCCAGGCAGCATAACAAGGTGATTGAAATGTGTTTGAGAAAGCATTTGGACCATGGTCATGAACTTTATTCTAGTTAAGAGGTGATATATGATCATGAACTTGAACATGAACTTTAATCTTTTTAAGAGTCATGTATAGAGTGATGCATGAGTTCCATGGATAGCAGAAAGATAGAGAATAAACATAGGAGTCTGGATGGAAACATTTAGGAGGTATACTACACTTGGATGCATGGTGTAGTCCCAAATTTTAGTCCTGCACAGAATTCCTTTGCAATTTTAACCAACAATTCATTTTTCTTCCATCCCATGTATGCATCATTTTTTGTTGTTTATTAATGTTCTTATTGAAATGATGACACTTGTAGGGGCTGAGATGTGGAAGACAGATTCTTTTATATTCTCTAAGTTCCATTTTACTTTCTTGTTTATTTATAATGTTGTTTACATTGTCAACGAGGTTACTAATTCAATTTCAGCTTCTTTCATTCTGAACTGATGTCCTTCTGTTTTTTCTCCCCTTCAGGTAGGTGACCATGTTGGTTTCTTAATTTATTTATATTTGGATGAGTTTTTAAAATTTTTCCCATTAACTTTTAATTAACTTACTAATGGTCTCCAGTTTATCGCACATTGATAGCACTGTTGTTTTTAAGTTTTCTTAAGTAGTTTTCAAAGTTATATTGTCTTTGAATCTCTTTCTGGGTTTTTGTCCCTATCCATCAAAGCAACCTAATCTTACAGTTTTTCATTGCACCTGGTGTTATATGAGGGCCAGAAGTGGTGAGCTGAGTCTGAGTTGACCTGAGCAATTATGGGCTGTTTAGGTTTCCAAGAGTGAGCAGGTGGTTGGGCTCTGAGTTGTGTTCACGTGAATGACATCTGGGGATTCTGTGATTACCATTCCCCTATAGCTGTTATAGCACCTAGATGTAGTTGATCTGGCCTCTATCACAGGGGTTATAGTTCATAATGCTTGGAAATTGCTGTGCAGTTAAAGTTTGGCCTGCAGGAGGACTGGCGCATGGTAGGAAGCTTGCCACAAGTGAGGGGAGAGTGCAGTTAGGACAGAAAAGGGACCCCTGTGGTAATGATAGTTGGAAGTGATCATTCTGGATAAAAACTGAGTCTTATCCCCAAGGAAACTGGAGACATTTGTAGCAAAAAATGTATACTAGTGAAGGGATAGGTGTTACAATAGTTTATGACTGAAACCAATTATGAACAACTTTGTCAGTGTGTATCTCATGGTGATTCAATTGAAAGTAACTTAAAAAATTTTTAAAAAATCAAAGAAAATGTCCCGCCTGGTTGAATAGTAAATGGAGATTATAGTCACATGTATTTAGTAACAGTTGTTCAGCAAGCTGATCTTCATAGCTACTGGAGAATATTTGCATTTACTAGTCCATGTTCAGGAATAGCTTCTCTCAACCACAGGTCTTATGGACAAGGTTTACTTCTGGAGTGTCTTCCTCTGTGGCCTGGGGCAACAGCACATGTTTTGTGTTGACTTCTTTCAGCTCTCCCCATAAACTATCTGCATGACTGTGCAGAACAGATGGTTCAATGCTTGGGTCTAGTCGTGCAGCCCAGGGTCTGGTCTCGCCCAGTGTTGGGGCCATCAGGCTGTGGTACCAGAGATAACTATGGGCCTCACACATGCCAGGCATGGACTTCAGTTCTTTAAGCTATTATTATAAATAATTTTATAGTTCATTTTTTATTTCTTTATTTTAACTAATTTAATCATTAGTACTTTTTTTTTTTAATAACAGGACCTTATATTCCTGCTAGTCACTTTTTTTTAAATGTAGGAGTACTGCTATTTATTCAGACACTGATTAGCTGATTGAATTGGGCATGAACTCCACCGCTAATCATTTTTATTCCTCGAAATCTTTGCTTTGGATAAAGGCCATAGATTAGTAAGGTTTGAGCCTATTAATAATGCTCCTGCACCAATTATCTTATATTTCACAGGTAGGTTTGCTATCAACACAGTACCAAGAAAAATAAGTGTCTCTGAAACTATTTCAACCCAATTATTTTGGATGCTTGTAATATTTTCTTCTACTTGATTTATAGTCCTATTCATTTCTTCAGACTTATTTGTAAACCCTTCAGTACGTAGTTTTTCTTGATTCTGTAAAAGAGAGAATTTTTCTTTTAAATACTTCGATTAGCATTTAACAATGCAATAAGATTGTGTCTTTTATTATTATTGCTTTAGGTATTCTTTGATGAGTTTCTATAATTTTTCCATGCTTGTACCTAGATAATAAAAAAATCCAAACTTCATTGCATCTATGATCCCTTAGTACCATCACACTGGGGGTGGGAAACAGTTGTGGGTATATCAGACCTGACACTATCCATCCCAGTATATGTTTCATCTTTGAGGATACATGTGGAAGTACAGAAGTTCAATTCTAATTATTTCAGCATTTAACTCAGGAAACATGGTCATACATGAAACAAACAATGGAAAGTGAACTCTTTATAGAGCAGTGGTTATCAAGTATCAGGTTGGAACATAGGATACATTTTATTCTAGGAGTATGAATAAATCAAGAATATCTGGAAACAAGCAAATTTGATAGTTTTGGCATCCCATATTTTATTTCATGCACAGTGTGATCATTTCAAGACCAGGGCTTGTTGTAGTTCTTGCTGGTGCAGCTCCTGTGCTGCCTGAACTGAGTATCCTTTGATATCACTCCAGGGTTCTTGGAGACAATATCTTCAGATATTAAGTCCAGACAATGGCAACAGACTGATGCCAGGGGGGCAATACTCTCCAGCATATAGTAAAAGTAAGTAAAGTAAAGGCCCTCCCGTTGATCATCGATTTGCTCGAGCGGGCCCAGTAACGTCTCCATTGGAGACTTTATTGTTACTGTGTCTGGCAGATCAAATACATCACGGGGAGCTTGCTAGGCCCTGCCGTGCGGGTGAGATACTCTCCGTAGCTTGCAGGGCTCTCCTAGAGAGAGAGCATATAATATAGGTTGATAATTCCCTTTGGCTGGGCTTGGGGACATGATTACCTTTGAAGCCTTTAAGGTTGCTGTTGGAAACCTTTAAGAATAATAAGCTTTGTTACTATTTAGAGAACTTAGAGATGCTGAGTTTGTTTCCCTTGAAATTATTTGTTGCCATGCAACCACTGATCATCCCTTTTGTTTCCCCTTCCCTTTTGCCTCTGTATAATCATTGCTTGGCATGAATAAGCTTTTCAGCTGGTCACCAATCAATGACCTGCTTTTCTGGCTCCCAGTCAGTAGCTTGCATTTGTGTCTATGAACGATCAATCTTAGACTGGGTAGGAATCAGCCTGTAGCTCAAAGGTACCCGGCACCTTGGGACAGTGACAAGTGATATTTTTTTAAAAGATGTTTATATCATGTATCCTAAGGATTCAAGGAGTCATGCCCTATTCACTTGGGGCCACAATGGAAACTTTGTAATAAACACAGTCATCTAGGAGCTTTGGTGATGGTTATAATGACTAAAGTAAAATGTTACTGAAAAAGTGGTTCATTATGATTTACATTTTAGTATAATCCAGATTTATTCTGTTTCAGCAAATCATGTGCCCTTAGACTTCCCAATGTGGTACTTTTTTTTTATAGCTTCCTCCCTCCCTCCCTCCCTCCCTCCCTCCCTCCCTCCCTCCCTCCCTCCCTTCCTTCCTTCCTTCTTTTTCTTCCTTCCTTTCTTCCATATTTCTTTTCCACACCCTGCAATGCTCAGGGGTTACTGCTGTCTATGAACAAAGGAGTCACTCTTGGCAATGCTTGGGGGGTTGTATGGGATGCCGGGGATCAAAACCAGATTTGCTGCATACAAGGCATGCACCCTACCTTCTGTACTATTTCTCCAGCCCCTGTTATTTCTTTTTGAGGAACTAGGGTATATCCATCAGTTACTACCCAGGGTCAGTCAAAGGTTACCTTCAGCAAGTGTTCCAGAATTATTTTCAGCTCTTTCAATTTTATTTCCATTTCTTCCTCCAATTTCTTCTTCACTTGGATTAGGTTTTCCTTCAGAGTATTTTCTAGAGCCTTTGCTTTTTGCTCCTCCATTTTATTTCTCTTTCTCACCAGATCCATTTTCTTCTTAGATGCTTGATTTTGGGCCTGTTCAACTGTTTAGCAGTCGTTTTACACATGGCAAGAAAAAAGCAGTTATGTAAACTGAACTCATCTGAGCTCAAAGATTTAAACATGACTAGAAAGATTTTACATGATTTATTTATTTATTTTTGCTTTTTTTGGGGGGGTCACATCCGGCGATGCTCAGGGGTTACACCTGGCTCTGCACTCAGGAATCACTTCTGGCAGTGCTCAGGATACCATATGGGATGCTGGGAATCAAACCTAGGTCGGCCGCGGGCAAGGCAAATGCCTTATCTGCTGTGCTCTCGCTCCAGCCCTTTTACAGATGTTTTAAAACTGGCAAAATGCACCTCTGAATTCTTAATTTACCCAAGTCAGCAAATGGAAATTAAAATATGAATGAAATGCACTTTTTTGCTGTATTAATAGCTAAATCTTCTATACCTTTTCAGATATATCATAGTGTTGTACAGAAAGTGGAAACTTCTGGTTTAAGAAAGGTTTTGATCTCACGCTTGTCAAAGAGCTCTTCAGGGACTCACCTCCCATTTGTGAATACAACTCTCCCTTGTACCTGCTATACGTTTCTCTGCATTGGTGAGGGATTTGTCTGCGTGAAGGATGGCTTGCTCTGTTGATTCTTGAGATTGCAAGAAGCCCTGGAGGACCTCCATTGACTTTAAAAAGAAAACACAAGAAGCAGAGACTAGTCAAATAGCAAGTCTCTTGATGGGAGACATTACTGTTTAGTTAAACCAGAAAATTCTTCATTCTTATGAGGTTTCACAGTGGTTCCTTTTCTTCAGTTGCCACAATATAAAAACCTCTCTAAGGACTCATAAAATTTTCTAAAGCATTATCCTTCTTGATATACCAGTGGCTTCTCCTAAGATTGTTGCGAACTACCTACTTTGTTTATAGACATCCTATTTATGTGTTTATAGAAATCTTCCCTCTTATAAACATAGCTCCATCATTGTTTGCCCTATTTTTGTATTCTTTTTCATTATCAATCCTTGATTTTGGAGGGTATCATTAATTGATACTTCAATTTGTAGGTCTTTTAGAAAAATTTCTTAAACTCATCAGAAAGCTGAGTTTTAAATGACTTTCAGGTATTAAGAGTATCCTTATCATTTTTGCTACTTGATGGCTCTGTGATCTTGGAAACATTAACTTTTTGTACATTACACTCTTTAGTTGTGAAGGAATAAAATAATATTATTTTGAAAAATAAATGATAACCAATCACAACACCTAATACTTTTCAGCTAGGAAAAGAGTAATTAATGAATGCCAAGTATCATTATCAACATTGCTACTGGCACCACCATAATAATCATGATCACCACAATAATGTTTGGTATAATAATAAACATTAAACTATTGCACCTAATTGAATATTTTTGGTCTTCCTCAGGTAAAAGTCTTAAAATTCTTTAATTTTTAAACAATTCTAAGCACTGTGATTACAATAAAGTTAATAACATTTCATAAATACTATGTAAATTACAATCCAGCTTTATTGCTTCATGACTAATCTTGTAAGAGATGCAAATCAAGCCACTAAAACTCATTGATCTTTGGACAGAAAACTAGAGTTCTCTCAGAAGGGGGTTGAGGTGACTCCCTGATCTGCAAAAGCCCCATAGTTGCATCCACACCCCACAGCTGATGCCTTATAAATGACCCAACTTCAATGTTTCACAACTAATCTCTACAGAGATGCCATGTCAATGAAACTTCCTGGTACACCATTGGGGCCTGAAAACTCTGGAATCTTCTTGAAATATGGGTGGACAGCCTCCACTGCCTATTGCAGGAAGCCTCAGCAGGGACCTCCACATCCCACAGTCTCCACCATGTAAAAAATGCCCAGCTTCACAGATTCATTACTAATTCTTGGAATAGAAGCTCAGGCAAAGTAACTCACAGTTACCCTGGCCTTCACGCTGAGAACTATGTCCCCACACCCACACTGAGTGGAGATACTGAGAATCACCCCAGTCCTATAGATTTTGGAGTTCATGAAGTGCGTGGATTTATATGCAGCTATGAAACACTTCCATACTCCATAATACAGACAGCCCAGTAGGAACACAGCAAATTAGACTTCAAAGTAGCATAGAAGTCAGCTAGGTGCAATAAACAAAAAGAGAAACAGAAAGCTCAACTAGCAACAAAAAGCTCAGTAAACCCTCAGCCAATTACTTTAATAACTCCACTGTTATAACAATTTTCACAAATTTTCTTTTACTGAGGCATTTAAAAAAATTCTATATGCCATTTTTTCTCGTAACAAGCAATATAAAATAATTTTCTTTGTGCTGTTAAAGGGGCAGGCTTTGGAGATGAGTGGGAAACTGGGGACAATGGTGGAGGGAAAGTCACATTGGTGGTGGGATTGGGGTTGGAACTCTAAATGCCCAAAGAAACTGTATCATAAACAGCTTTGGAAACCATAGTGTTTAAATAATGTTTAAATAATATTTTAATAAAAACACTTTTTATAACAGTGTTTTTTTTGATGTTTTCCTTTTTTAAAAAAATTTTTTATTAGTGAATCACCGTGAGGTACTGTTACATACTTACGTTTCTGTTTGTGTTTCAGTCATACAATGATGGGTTGCCCATCCCTCCACCAGTGCACATTCTCCACCACCAATGATCTCAGTATTCCTCCCACCTCCCCCTCCCCCTTCCTGTCATATCCCCCCGCCCCTCCCCCCCTCTGTGGCAGGTCATTCCCTTTTTCGTTCTCTCTCTCCTTTTGGGTATTGTGACTTTCAATAGAGGTATCAAGTGGCTATTGTGTTCGGTTTATAGTCTATTATTGGAAGCTCCCAAGCCGAGCAGTCCTCCCAGCACCCTTTACATGGTGTTTCCTTCTCTGTCTAAGTTGCCTTTTTTTCAGCATGTGAGGCCGGATTCCAAGCCATGGGGCAAACCTCCTGGTCCTTATCTCTACTATTCTTGGGTATTAGTTTTCTCTTCTGTTACTTTATATTCCACATATGAATGCAATCTTTCTATTTTTGTCCCTCTCTTTCTGACTCATTTCAATTAACATGATACTTTTCATGTTGATTCACTAATTTGAAAATTTCATGACTTCATCTTTTCTAACAGCTGCATAGTATTTCATTGTGTAGATGTACCAGAGTTCCCATAATGAGTCATCTGTTCTTGGGCACTCAAGTTTTTTCCAGATTTTGGCTATTGTAAACAGTGCAGCAATGAACATACAAGTGCAGATGTCATTTCTACCATACTTTTTTGCCTCTCTGGTGGGTATATTCCCAGAAGTGTTATTGCTGGGTCAAATGGGAGCTCAATTTCTAATTTTTTTGAGGAGCATCCATACTGTTTTCCAAAAGGGATGAACCAGTTGGCATTCCCACCAGGAGAAAGGAGAGTCCCTTTCTCCCCACACCCACACCAATACTGGTTGCTTTTGTTGTTTTGGATGTGGGCCAGCCTCTTTGGTGTGAGATGGTCTCTCATTGTTGTTTTGATCTGCGTCTCCCTGATGATTAGTGAGTAGAGCATTTTGTCATGTACCTTTTACCCATTCTGATTTATTCTTCGAGAAATTTTCTGTTCATTTCATTGTCCTAAAGGTAAGGTAAAGGTAAAGGCCCTCCTGTTGATCGTCGATTTGCTCGAGCGGGCCCAGTAACGTCTCCATAGGAGACTTTGTTGTTACTGTATCTGGCATATCGAATGGCATACTCTCGGTAGCTTGCCGGGCTCTCCGAGAGGGGAGGAGGAATCGAACTCGGGTCAGCCATGTTGGCCGCGTGTAAGGCGAACGTCCTACCCGCTGTGCTATCACTTCATTGTCCTATTTTTTAAAAAAATTTTATTAGTGAAACACCATGAGGTACAGTTGTAGACTTACAAATTTTTGTGCTTGGGTTCCGATTATACAATGATCAAATACCCATCCCTCCACCAATGCCCATTTTCCATCACCATGGATCCCAGTATCCCTCCCACCCTCATCGCCCCTGTCCCACCCTGCCTCTGTGGCAGGGCATTCCCCTTTGTTCTCTCTCTCCTTTTGGGTGTTGTGGTCTGCAAAAGAGGTATTGAGTGGCAATCATGTTCAGTCTATAGTCTACTTTCAACATGCATCTCCCATCCTGGGAGGATCCTCCAAACACACTTTATTTGGTGCTCCCTTCTCTATCTGAGCTGCCTTTCCCCCTAGCATGCCCGGCTGGCCTCTAAGCCATGGAGTAATCCTCCTGGTACTTATCTTGGCTATTCTTGGGTATTAAAGGTAAAAGGTAAAGGCCCTCCCGTTGATCGTCGATTTGCTCGAGCGGGCCCAGTAACGTCTCCATTGGAGACTTTGTTGTTACTGTGTCTGGCATATCGAATACTCTCGGTAGCTTCTTGGGTATTAATCTCCTATTTTGTTACTTTATGTCCCCCAGATGAATGCAATCTTTTTATGTTTGTCCCTCACTTTCTGACTCATTTCACATAGCATGATATTTTCCATGTAGTACCACTTGTATGTAAATTTTATGACTTAATCTTTTCTAACAGCTACATAGTATTCCATTGTGTAGATGTACCAAAGTTTCTTTAACCAGTCATCTGTTCTTGGGCACTCAGGTTTTTTCCAGATTCTGGCTATTATAAAGAGTGCTGCAATGAACAAACAAGTGCAGATGTCACTTTGACTATATTTTTTGCCTCTCTGGGATATATTCTCAGGAGTGTTATTGCTGGGTCAAATCGGAGCTCAGTTTCTTAATTTTTTGAGAATCGTCCATACTGTTTTCCAAAAGGGCTGAACCAGTTGTCATTCCCACCAGCAGTGAAGGAGGGTCCCTTTCTCGCTACATCCGTGCCAGCATTGGTTGCTTTTGTTCTTTTGGATGTGGGCTAGTCTCTGAGGTGTGAGATGGTATCTCATTGTGGTTTTTATCTGTATCTCCCTGATGATTAATGATGTAGAGGATTTCCTCGTGTGCCTTTTTGCCATTTCATCGTCCTATATTATGAATGGGTTGGATGTTATCTGGAATTCAACCAGTGCCTTGTATATCCTTGATATTAGCCCTTTATCAGATGGATATTGGGTGAATATCTTTTCCAATTCTGTGGGTTGTCTTTGTATTCTGGTCACTGTTTCTTTAGAGGTACAGAAGCTTCTTTTTTTAAAGATAGTCCCATTTTTTAACCTCTGTTTACTCTTGCCTGATCAGTGGCAAAAAGTCATCTTTGAAGATAACCTGTAGATTCGATGTAGTGGAAGGTTTTGCCGACCTTGTCTTCAATGTACCTTATGGATTCTGGTCTGACGTTGAGGTCTTTAATCCATTTTAAACTGACTGTTGTGTACGGTGTTAGGTAGAGGTATAAGCCCATTTTTTTCCATGTAGCTGTTCAGTTTTGCCAGCACCATTTGTTGAAGAGGCTTTCCTTGCTCCACTTCACATTTCTTGCTCCCTTATCAAATATTAGATGGTCATATATTTGAGTGTGTATGTAAGGATATTCAAACCTGTTCCATTGGTCTGCTGACCTGCCTTTGTTCCAGTACCATGTTGTTTTAATTATTACCACTTTATAGTAGTAGAGTTTGAGGTTGGGGAATGTGATACCTAGCGTGTTCTTTCCCCCCAGAATTGGTTTAGCTATTAGTGAGGGTTTGTTCTTCCATATGAATTTCAGGAGTGTTTGCTCCACTTCCTTGAAGAATGTCATGGATGTTCTTATAGGGATCGCATTGTACCTGTACTATGCTTTGGGGATTATTGCCAATGTTAATTCTCCCAATCCATGAGCAGGGGATGTGTTTCCATTTCCTCGTGTTCTCTTTTATTTCATAAAGTAATATTTTTTAGTTTTCTCTGTACAGGTCCTTCACCTCCTTAGTTAAGTTGATTCCAAGGTATTTGATTTTCTGAGGCATGACTGTGAAAGGGATTGCTTTTTTCATATCACTTTCTTCTCTCTCATTATTTGCATATTGGAAAGTCATGGACTTTTGGGTGTTGATTTTATAGCTTGCTACTTTACTTTACAAGTCTATTGTTTCTAGGAGTTTCTTGGTAGAGGCTTTGGGGTACTCTAAATATAGTATCATATAATCTGTGAACAGTGAGAGCTTGATTTCTTCCTTTCCTCTCTGGATGCTTTTAATGTCTTTTTCTTGCCTAATCACTATTGCAAGTACTTCTAGTACTATATTGAACAGAAGTAGTGATAGTGGGCATCCTTGTTTTGTCCCTGATCTTAAAGTGAAGGCCCTTAATTTTTCCCCACTGAGGATGATGCCTGCTATAGGCTTGTGGTAGATGGCTTTGACTATATTGAGGAAGGTCCCTTCAAAACCCATTTTAGTGAGAGTTTTCACATGAATGGGTGTTGGATCTTGCAAATGCTTTCTCTCCATCTATTGATTGATCATGTTTTTATCTTTTAATTTGTTGATATGATGGATTATGTTGATTGACTTCTGAATGTTGAACCATCCTTGCTTCCCCGGTATTAATCCCACTTGATCGTGGCGTATGATCTTTTTGATAAGTTGTGGATTCTATTTGCTAATATTTTGTTGAGGATCTTCGCATCCATATTCATCAGAGATATTGGCCTGTAATTTTCTTTTTTTGTGTTGTCTGTTTGCTTTTGTTATTAGGGCGATATGTGCCTCACAGTAACTGTTTGGGAGTGTTTCTGTTTCCTCAATTTCCTGGAAAAACTTGAAAAGAACTGCAATAGGTCCTCTTTAAAAATTGGAAGAATTGCTAGTGAATCCATCAGGACCTGGAGTTTTGTTTTTGAGGAGACTTTTGATTACAGTTTTAACTTCCTCAATAGTAATGGTATATTCAGGTATAAATATAAAATTACAATATTCTGTCATCACACTCTCCACCAGAATGTTCCTCTGTCAACCAATGCCCCTCTGTCCTCTACCATGGTAAGTTCATGTTTGTAGTCCATTTCTAAGGCTCTTTTATCTTTGAAAAACCATTTGTTATTTGCCTCCCTATTTTTTCTTTATACCCTACCTATGATGGGGTTATTCTGCATGATTTTAACTCCTGGATTATAAATTTTGTTCTTAAATTATGATTCTTCAAACAAAAAACTATTGAACTATTTTATCATTCAAAGTACTACTCTCATCTAGAGTCCTAATAATACATCTTAGACTTGGAATAAAATTTCTAGTGTATTCAAGAGTGACTCTATATTTTAAAAATGTAAAACAACATAGATAAATTAATACATTCTTCTTTCTCTTTGTTATGAACTTATGTTCTTGATTACCAAAAGAAATAACAAAGACCTGCTGACTACTCTCTGCTCTTTTTCCCACTTCCATTTTTTACATACCTTAACTCCTTTTTTGGGTACCAATGCATAGTCCTGCTCAACTTTGTTCTTCGCTGCTAAGTAGAGACTGTGTCCTCCAGGTACAAAGAAAATTCCTTTTGAAATACTTTCCATCAGAGTTCTTGAAATCTTTCTAAGTTCATCCTCGCAGTGTTTGAAAGATGCCTCCTCATTTTGAAGCAAGAAGGCCTCTTTTTTTTCCTCTATCATGCTCTGCCAGGAAATTTGGAGAAATAGAACAAAAACAATCTGTTAGTAAGGAAAGTTCAATTCTAATTTTCTTGAAAAAAGAAAAAAATAACTGATTACCTAACAGAGAATTGTAGTGGACCTTTAATAGAATTCTTGCTTTAATCTCAGTTATGACAAAATCTGAAATTTGGAAATATCTTTATTGTGAATTTGTTGTTTTTATTACTATAGTTTGTGCTGGAGGGATAACACAACAGATAGGGAGTTTGCCTTGCATGTGGCCAACCCAGGTTCGATTCCTCCACCCCTCTCAGAGAGTCCAGCAAGCTACCGAGAGTATCCTGCCTGCACGGCAGAGCCTGGCAAGCTACCTGTGGCATTTCAATATGGAGACGTTTCTGGTGCCTGCTCGAGCAAATCAATGAACAATGGGACTACATTGCTATTTTACTATAGTTTAGGTAACATGTTGATAATAGTATTAGCATTTGTGATACTGACGTAGTTATCACACCTCACCATCATCAAAATTCCTCAAACCCTCCACCATTGATCTAATATCATTTCTAGTTTAGCTCATCATTTACCCACACTCTCAGTTTGATAATTTGTTTTTTAGGAATTTAATACTAAAAGTAATTCATTGAATTACTGTAAATCATTACAATTCATTATATTACAAAGCTACAAAATAATTCACGATTAAATTTCAGAAGTACAATATTTGATCACCAATCCCTTTACCATGCCCACTTCCCTCCACCAAATCCCCAGTCTTTCCCATTGGCCAGTTAAAAATTTTAAATGTTGTTTATATCTCTGAGTAATTTTAGTAATCCAAGGCCAAGAGTTCATAAATTTTTTTAATATTATCTATTTCCATGTTTTATTTCTGTGCTTATCAAAGATCAGTGAGGCCGTCTGGCACTTGTCTTTCTCCCTTTAAGTGACTTATTTAACTAATATGAGACCTTTCAATTCTATGCAAGTTGCAGTAAACTATATGATTTCATCTTTTTTATAGCTTCACAATATTCTATTCTGTATCTAGACACCACAATTACTTTGTTAGGCATCTGCGTTGCTACCATATACTGGCTATTGTTCTACGTGATGAACTATGCACATATATATTTGGATTAATAATCTTGTGAGGTAGATGTCCTAAAGAAGGATCACTGGTCAGATGGAGGCTCTATTTTTTACTTTATTTGGGAACTATACATACTGCTTTTCATAAATATTATAGTAAAGAACATTTGTTAATGAGGATATAATTTTTCACTACAACCTGGCAACAACAGTAATTTGAAGTTTTTTAAAATATGCCATTTTCACTGGTGTGAGGTGATATTTCATTGTCATTTTACTTGAATTTCCCAAATACTAAGTGAATATGAGTACTTTTTTATATACCTACTAACTTTCAGTGTGTCATCTTTGTAAAAATGCCTATTCATCTTCTTTCTTCATTCTTGATGCTTTTATTTGATTTTCTTTAATTGTTAAGCTTTTGAATTTTTTTTATATTTTTATAGAAAAATATAGAATTTTTTAAAATTAGAATTTTCTAATATTTTTCTTAGATATTAGTCTTTATCTGATGTACTGAGTGGAATAATTTTCTTCCATTTAATGGAACATCTTTATTTTAGGCAGAGTTCCTCAATGCTACTAAGTTGGAGAACCTAAGAGAAATCTATGAATTCTTATACAGGATTCATTCATCTCAAGATTAAATAAGAAAAAAGTAGAAAAACAGAAAAGGTCAATCACAAGTATGGAAACTAAAGTAATAATTGAAAATCTACTCACGATGCCAGAGTGGTAGTATAGCGGATAGGATATTTCCCTTGGACACAACTGATCTAGGTTCTATTCCCAGCTCCCCATATGATCCTATTAATATATCACAGGTAATCCCTTAGTGTTCAACCAGAAGTACATCTGAGCACTGCCTGGGGTGGCCCTCAAACCAACCAATCAACCAACCAACCAACCAACCAACAAACAAAAAATTTTCCCAGAAGAATAATCCAGGTCCAGATATTTCACTCTAGTGTTCTTCTACCAAACTTTCAAAGAAGAATTAATAACCACCTCCGAATTATTCCAAAAATATTAAAGAAACAGAAATTCTTCCTAATAGCTTTTAAGAAGACACAGTTATTCTAATACCAATAATACAGAGAAGTATTACAAATAAAGAAAATTATAGATCAATTTTTCAGGTAAACATTAATTCAAAGGTCATCCAACGAAATATTAGTAAACTAGTTACAACAAAAGAGCAAATGATCATATAACATGATTAAATATAGTGGGATTTGCTCCATCTGAAATGATGTTTCTATATATACATGTAACTTAATACTATATACCATATTGATAAAAGTAAAGATAAAACTCATATGACCAGAGAAAGCTTTGATGTGGTTCAACATCCATTCATGATCAAAACCCTCAACAAAATAGGAAGAAGAAACCTATCTCAAGTTGGTAAACTACGGCCATACCACACTGATTGCTCCCCATCTTGTCAAAATGGTAAGAGTCATTTACTATAAACCACAGCCAATGTCATACTTAAGAGCCCAAAACTGAAGGTGTTTCCTTTGATATCAGGCACAAAGCAAGAATGTTCATTTTGTCTATTGTTTTTTATAGCTTTGAAAATCTTTCCCATAAACAATTACGTAAGAAGAATAAATTGAAGGTATCCAAACTGAAAAAGAAGTTAAACTGTGACCATGTGCAGATGCCATGAAATTATACACATGAGGCCCTATAGACACTATTCAAAAACTCTTAGAAACAATATGTGAATGCAGCAAGTTAGTAGTTTTCAAAAACACACTACAAAAAATAGGTTGCATTTTGATATGTTAATAATGAAGTAGATGAATTTTAAAATTGAAATTTAATATGACAAATTTAAATAATATCATTTAGTGTCCTAAAACAGCAAATACCTAGGAATCAACTTAATAAAGGATTTGAAATTTTTTTTTTACAAAAATTTGTTTTATTTTTGAGTGTTTACATTTAAAATTCTAAGTAGCTATTGAAAAAAATCAAAACAGCATGGCACTGTAATAATGATAAAATGAATAGCCAATGGATTTGATTTAAAAGCCCAGATAAGACCTCTCAGAGTCTCCTGCCCCCGCGCCTGGCTGTTCTCACTGGGGCCCCTTGGAGGGGGGACGGGTTGAGTTTCCTTCCCCTTTCCAAACAGAGCCCTGGCAGCCGAAGACCTCCAGAACCAGCCACAGCCATGCTGAGACCACTCTCCCCACGTCCGGAAAAGCCTCATGCTTGAAGGAACTGGCAGAGGAACCCAGGCATGTGGGTCCAGGGGCTGAGATCTCCAAGCCTGCTCGGATCAGGACTGGGCCTTCTCTACCCAGATCCCCCATCTTCCAGTAGGCATTCACGGCCACGCGACATCTTATTATCTCGTTTTTACTTTGGAGAACCTGGCAGGCTACTGAAAGTATCCTACCTGTCTGGCAAACTTCCGGTGTCATACTCAATATGCCAAATACCAGTAACAATGATAAGTCTCATTCTCCTAGCCCTGAAAGAGCATTGAATATGGCTCTTTTAAAATCTTAGGGCTAGGAAGGAGATGTTACTGGTGCCTGCTCGAGGCAATCAACAAACAATAGGATGATCTTGATCGTGATCATGAGAAGACTTCAGATTTATGAACAGTTAATCAGTGACAAAGAAGAAACTGGCCTGAAGTGGAAGAAGACAAGCATCTTCAAAAACTGGGATAGGCAAACTAAAGTTAGATGCAAAATAAGAAAGCTATATCCATATGTCACACCATACACAAAGTTAATTCAAAGTACATAGAGTATCACAAGATTATATCAGAATTCATAAAGTTCATTGAGGAAAACGAGAGAACACTTTATGATATAAACCTCAGGTAAGCAACAACAACAACAAAGGGAACACATCACATTTAGAAGTTTTTTGTGATAAAAGAAGTTTTGTCCTTTTGATAGGAATCTTTAAAATCTACTGTCCTAGAAACTTTCAGTTTGAAATATTCCTAATTATATATTTTTACTATGATATAAACAATATATTTGCACATAATAGTACAGCTACTTTAGGGTTAGTAGTATAATTAATAGTAATTAATCCATGAACAATTATAAATGCAAAGTTAAACTGAGATTTTCTAAGGCTTTCCTTTGCAAGTTTGTATTTGTATTAACAAACAACATACGTAGCAAACCTCCAAGGACTGGAGCAATAGCGCAGCAGGTAGGGAGTTTGCCTTGTGTGTGTTCAACCCGGGTTCGATTCCTCCATCCCTCTGTAGAGCCCAGCAAGCTAACGGGAGAGTCCCACCCACACAGCAGAGACTGGCAAACTCTCCATGGCATATTTGATATGCCCAAAGCAGTAACAAGTCACACAATGGAGACGTTACTGGTGGCCACTCAAGTAAATTGATGAACAACTGGAGGACAATGAAAGACAGTCACAGTGATGTAGCAAACCAACTTCTCAATGTTCAGTGGTCTCTGAAAAGAACTGCACCCTTCTTGAATTTTTTTTTAATAAAGTAGAAGTACTGCTATTTGTTCAACCATTGATAAAGCTAAATGAATTGGGCATAGATTCCATCCTTCATAAATTATTTATTGAAAGTTTGATTGTGAAAATAATTAGGAACAAACATTTTATAACATTTATAAAATATATAAGTTAGTACCTATATATTGTGCTTTTATATTACAGCCTTTTTTGGGCTTTCTTCCATATGAACTAATAGGTTTATGTAACTTGATGAATGTTCAGAGGGAGACTTAAATTTAAATATTCAGTGAAGGTGGTTATGTTATGCAGAATTATAATATGCTTCAAAAGTTCTTTCCCCAGGTATGTACAATCTGTATAGTCACTGGTTTAAGGATGCCTCGTGAATATTAATTTTGTGGGTAGGTATATTATATGGCAGATATGGATTTTAGAAAATGAGAAATATCCACGTAGACACTACTTAATAATATGAGCCTTTTAAATAAGTGGAATTTTCTCAAGTTGGTTATAGTAAATGGGTAAAAAAAGATTACAAAAAATAGGATTTATTGCACTATCTTTTTCATGAAGATAGAACCTGCATATGAATAATAGGTTTGTTATTTTCAGCATTATGTAACACTGTACCAATACATATTGTACATAATCTGACCAGAAGAACTGTAAGGTAATAAATGTGTGTTTTAAATTGACACAAACACATGATAATTTGTTTTGATATAATAGAATTCAGTGACCCTACTCTTCAAAATAAGAGTAGGTGATTGATTGTTGTTTATGGAGTCCTATCAAAAGAATTAAAACTCTTTCTATAATTGGAAAAACAGTAACTATAGAACCATCATGGGGAAGTCTAGGCATCATTCTAGAAAGACAGAAATCAGGAAGGTAAAAGGCTAATATATATTACCAAAAGCTCTGTCTGGAACTTCCTTTTGTTATCCTTAAAGGAGTGCTCCATAAAAATTGCAAAGGCCTCTCTCTCACAGGCTGCATGCACATCTAGCAGGTCCTGAAGTGATTCTGTGGGGAACTGCACTTGCTGCGTCACCTGCTCACTGTAGTGGTCAACTGCCTTCTGCACAGCCATTGCATTCTCCTGCTGGGCCAGGAGTGCCACTGAATTTTCCAAACAAGGAACTTCCCCAACATTGATAGCATTCACATAGGAATCAACCAGAACAGCCAGTCCTGAATGACATGAGAGCTCTGTTATTGGTTTAAAATCATTATATATCAGATTTTTCAAAACCACAAAATATTTCTTGAAAAGAACTTAATTTTTCCTCTTTCCTCTCAAATATTCACATCCTTGTTTTCATTCTTTCTACTCCTCCTTATGCTTCTCTGAAACATTTTTCTTATAATAACACTATATGGTCCAATTACTCTCTCTTTACTGGTTCTCAAATTTAACACATTAAAGTATTGTTATCCACCAACATATTTAAAGACTTATTGTAACACTTTTACTATTGAAGTGAATGAAATAATTTTTTTCTACATTTAAGAAAATTACAACATTTGTTAATACTCATTCAATAGAAAAGACAAAGTCTATTATAGCAAAATCACCCAAATTTCATGACAGTGATACAAACATATGAAGTCAAAATGAACCTATCTCAACATGGGATACTATGTCTGCTCGAGTTGTCTAACCATGTAACCAACCTGTGTATAAAATGATGGCATAATTTTTTTCTCAAATTTTATGAAGTTTTAGATATTCAATATCATTATGATTATTTTCTTACTGTACAAATTCACATAATATCAGATTATTCACACTGAAAGAACTTATGTCATATGACACTTCACCACAAAGATTTCTATGTTTCACTGCAGTTTGTGCTTAGATCATTAGTGTATTAGTTTCACTTCATCACTTGATCACTTGACATCCAGTTACTCATCACGTTGCTTGAGCGGGTGCCAGTAACGTCTCTGTTCGTACCTTTCGCGTGCTAGTGTAACCCAATGGCGTCTGCTCGCTACAGTAACACGAAGAGCCTAAAACCAATCATTCAGGGTCTTGTCGAAGAAGTCTGACCATCTTGTAAGTGGGCGTCCACGTGACCTTTTGACAACCCATGGAATCCAGACAGTAATGGCGCTAGTTCAGCAGTCATCTGCAGATCGCATCCACTACCTCCACTACCCAGGCGCCACCACACTCCAGGCCGCTTTGCAGATGCTCAGGACGAGACTCATGCACGAATGAAGCCACACAGAACCAGGTAAGCGGAACATTGCGACCTTGGACTCCAGGCTCAATGGGATCCGGAAACAAAGATCCTCTGCCCGCTCCCACCAACCTCCAGCAACCCAGGGATCAAACCCAGAAGCCCCACCCTGCCCTGCCCTGCCTGCTTCCACCAATCTCAGGTGATCCAGAGATCACACCTAGAAGGCCACCCTGCCGGTGCCAGATAAATACCTCTTCGGCCAACCTTCGTGATGAGGTAAATATCTTCACAGCCACGCGACACAGCATAAAACATTAATACCCATTTTTCAAGATTACCGCACCAGATTTGATGGGGTTCAAATATGGTTTGAACCATGGGAACACCTTCAAGGGCAATTTGCAGCCACCTTAAAACCCTTTATCCCTCTTGGAGAGCCTGGCAAGCTACTGAGAGTATCCTACCTGCACGGCAGAGCCTGGCAAGCTATCTGTGAGGTACTTGATATACCCAAAACAGTAAATACAATGGGTCTCATTCCCCTGACCCTGAAAGACCCACCATTATGGCAGCATTAAGAAGGATAAGCAAAGAGAGGGTGACAGAATCTCAAGGTCCAAAGGCTGCCAAAACAAAGAAGGACTAAAATGACTGTCTGTACTTTCAATGAATATACGCTGGCATCATATGCATCCATTGAGCGAAAGATCAAGTATGACATCATTGATCTGACCGAGGCAAGAAGGCATCAACCGTATCACTCCATTTTTGACACTGGAGATGAACTGTTCCTCGGAACATGCGAAAAAAGAGGCTTCAGTGGTGTCGGTGTCCTTGTCAACAGAACTTGACCATGAGCATTAATTCATTGGAATGCCTAACAACCCAAATCAGATGATTACACTCAAATAGATGTGGCACACTGCCGGCAGTTTCTATCTTCGTTGTCTACTCATCAACATCTGATTATGACGAAGAAATTGAGTGTGTTAGTTTAGGAAGTATAAACCATCCAGTAGAGAAAGTTTAATGAAGAAGTACATATAATTCTTGAAGAGACTTCAAGACAGTGAGTTGTCCCATGTAGACTCATCTCTAAGTTGTGATCTCTGAGGCCTTCTCCGAATGGGGGCATGTTGATTGCCCATTCTGTCAAAAGTCCCAGTAGCACATACTCACTCAACCATATGTGTGGCTGTGTGACAACTCCAAATTTAACAAATGGGACAGCTATTAGAAGCACAGCAAATGTGATAGCAACGTTGCATAGAAACCTACTAGGCTCAATGAGCCAAAAGAATAACACAGAAGACTCAACTTATTGTTGAGTAAATCTTCAGACAATAATTTTAATAACAGTTATCTTGAGATATAAAATTTTTCACAAATTTTCTTTTCTCTTTTTTTGTAATTCCCTTTGTGATTTTGTTGTAATAAACCATATAAAATCCATTATTTTGTGTCTGTCCTAGAGAGATAGCACAGTGGTAGGGCGTTTGCCTTGTGCACAGCCCAACAGCCAAGCTGAGTTCGATTCCTCCGCCCCTCTCAGAGAGCCCAGTAAGCTACCAAGAGTATCTTGCCCGCATGGCAAAGTCTTGCAAGCTACCCGTGATGTATTCAATATACCAAACACAGTAACAGCAAGTCTAAAAAATGGAGACGTTACTGGGCCCTCTTGAGCAAGCAAATTGATGAACACGGGAGGACCGTGACCACGATCATGATTTTGTGCCTCCCAAGGTGGCATGGTTGTGTGGCAGGTGGATAACTGAGAACATTGGTGCAGGAATTGGTGATTAAATGCCTGAAACAACTGTATTATGGACGACTTTGTAAATCACAGTGTTTAAATAAAGGTTCAAACATTTTAGAAAAAAACAAGCACATGTTTCTCTGCATGGTATTAACATCTATCTTTGCATATCAGAAAGCGAAGTAAAAAAATTTAGAGAGCAATAATAGTTTTACCATACACAGTAAACCACTGAGAGATATGCTATAATAAAATTGACTCACCACTGCCTTTGATAATGATTCCACCTTTTAGGGTCTTGGGTCTTGCATTTGTGAAGATATAAGAACAGAAATTTTGGCATTGGTCCTGGAAAATTGATTCCAATTGGTGTTCTGATGCTTCCTCAAGATTGAGCAATAGATCATCATCTTTTGTGGGTTGTTTAAAAACAAAGCATTTCCTTTTGGGAAAGAACATCCTGATAGAATGTTTAGAGTCATTGGAACGTTTAATTTTTGAATCCTCACCTGTAGAAATGGGAGGGAAAAAGTAATCACTGAAAGAAAAATTTTCTATTAAGGGAATAAAGATTTCACTTATAAGGAATCTTTATATTACTGTGAATATGCTGCTTACATATATACCATTATTTAATCATGTAATTGAGCTGGAGTGATAGCACAGTGGTAGGGCATTTGCCTTGCATGCAGCCAACTTGGCCAAGCTGAGTTCGATTCCTCCACCCCTCTTGGAGAGCCCTGCAAGCTACCGAGAGTATCTCGGTCCCACGGCAAAGCTACCCGTGATGTATTCAATATGCCAAACACAGTAATAACAAGTCTCACAACAGAGACATTGCTGGGCCCACTTGAGGAAATCGATGAACAGCGGGAGGACATTGCTACAGTGCTACAGTACTTCAATCGTATGCTAACCTACTCAAGATTTGGAATTTCATCAACCTTTTGTACAGAAGTAGCAGTGAAGGAAATACTATTTGGGGTATGAAGCAGAAATATTTATCAAAATTAATGATCCTTAAGATCATTTTGTTAGCCCTAGTATAATGTGTACCTTACTAGATGCTTGTTGAATGATAGGTTCAAAATTATAAAAAATATTCTCCTGTGGGGACTGAAGTGATAGTATAATCACTTTTGTGATAGTATATAGCCTTGTATTTTCTTTACTTTATGTCTTTCTTCTATCTCTCCATGACGAATCACATTCTTGGAATCATTATCCTCTTTAGAGCAGGACCAGTAGTACAGTGAGTACATTGCATATAGCTGACCTGGTTTTGATCCCCTGTACCACATAAGTCCTTAGAGGTCTGATAGGAGTGATCCCTGTGCACAGAGTCAGGAGTATGCCCTGAGCACTACCAGTGAGGCCCCCACCCCAAACCTTCAAAACATAAAAACCTTTGACCATTTACTGATACATGTATGTATCATTATATGAAGGATGTAATCAATCAAGCCAGTAAATAGCATAAAATGATTTCAAAATGTAGATGATTTGGAAATATTTTGATTTGTATTGAATTTATCCAAGTTGATGAACATTTTTCTCTCAAGTGTAAGAATGTTTGCATTTAATAAGTAACACAAATGTATAAGTGTTAGGAAATTTTTGCTTTGATTTTATTCCTCATTTTTGATGCCATGACGTTTCCATTAACACTTGGTTCAGTATTAGATTCTAAATTTCTTCAGTGAACTTAAACTCTGGCTTAATAATGATACCTGAGAGAATACCCACTTGTCATGCATCAATTACCATTACATCAGCCTCACTCTGATCCCAAATAAAGTGTGTATCAATTGCTGAATGACAGGCTCAGTTGAAGTCACCTTCTACTGAAATTTACATCATTCAGAACATGCCCTAATACCTTCAACCAATTTCAACGCATTCTCCAGGTACTCATCTTCAGTGATACTCTGTCCTTTTGACTCCAACTTCAACTTGAAATCCCGTAAAGCCCAAATAAAGTCTGGAAAGAAAGTCACAAACTCCACTGAATCATTTAATTCTTCAGTACTTGGACAAGACTTTGTTCTGATTAGTTCTGCTAATTCAACTACGTAGTTGGAATGTTAGCTAAGGAGTGAGAAATAACCTACAACGGTTTCCAAATCTCACCCCAAAACCAGGCTTAAAAATACTCCATTGCTCTGCTTTTACTTCTTAATAATGGTGGGTTTTGGAAAAGAAGAAATGTTTCAATTGCCATTCCCATTGATTCCGTTAAATATGGCATTTTAATTTTTGAAAGGATACTGTAGCTGTTCCAAGACTTGGTAGTTGATGGTTCCTATGCTGTTGTAGACTAATACACTGCTCAGAAGAACGGCCAGTGCAAAGATCCAAGAGTCATTTCTGGAGTCACCCTAGAATATGCATTAGAGAAAAGCACGTTGGAACCTATTCTTTGTTGAATCAGCAATTGCCTATTTACTGTGTTATTCATTTTATAGTTGAACAGCTAACATAAAATTTGAAAATTATTCCAAACTCAAACTTAAAATTTTGGTGTGTGCATTGATTCACTCAGGACTTTAGTTTTTTAAGTTATTAAGCTAAGTGTAGGTGAGTGCAAATACATGTCAATTTCTGTTCAATGCTTGAGGTAAAATAGATATATAATGTAACATTTGAGATAAAAGTATCTGCAAATTTTTCTGAATTCTGAGCTATGTGGGGATTACAAACGTCATTCAATGGGGCTGGAGCAATAGCACAGCGGTAGGGCATTCGCCTTACAAGCGGCCAACATGGCCGACCCGAGTTCGATTCCTCCGCCCCTCTCGGAGAGCCCGGCAAGCTACCGAGAGTATTCAATATGCCAGACACAGTAACAACAAAGTCTCCAATGGAGACGTTACTGGGCCCGCTCGAGCAAAATTCATTTTACATCTATAAAATACCAGATGCCATAGTGTTCATTTCAAGCCTTTTAGAAGATTTTCTGTAAAGGCTGATATAAATGTCCACAATAATAAAATGATAAACTCTGCTAGGAGTGGAAGCCTGTATTTATTGTGAAATACAAAGAAGGAATGGCAAAATCCCAATAAATAATTGGGTAATTTTGATAAAAATCAACCATATCTGTGTAAGATATGAATGGATTACACAGAAAATAATTGGGAATTGAATATCTGATAGAAAGTGCAATTGTAGTGATCAAGAGATCAATGCATGTGAAAAACCCAACACAATAGTAAGGATTGTCAGAAACTTCCAGTCATATGAAGGCAATAGAGGCAACTTTCTTTGTGACAGTAGGTAATTATGACTATATTTGTGACAATAGGTGATAAGGCTAAGAACAAGTCTGGGGGCAACTTCTGGGTGACTCAGCAGTGATATGTTTCTTAACACTCTACAAGTTGTGAAAGCAGCAAGTGATTTTGTTGCTATTAAAGTTTTCAACTTGGCAGTTTTTGGATCCTTGACAGATGCAATTAGATTAAAAAAAGAAGAGGATGATGAAAACTACTATTAGGAATCAGCAGTGCTTTCTTTGTATTTTAAGATTGAACATTGCATATTATAAGTCTGAAGTTAAAATTCCAGAATTTCTAAACTGAAACAATAAACAGAGGCCTACTCTTGTTATTTTCTATTTACTCATTAACTCATAAGGGAAAATATTGTTTGGAACTAATACTAAAATAAAATAATAAATTGATACTATTCATAATGCTTTGGTCAATCTAGCTCTTGCTTTTATAGAAATCGGTAAAAATAAAAATCCTAGAGATATAGATTTCAAATCTCAGTGAATGTTCCTGGTGCAAGTGAATAATTTCTTAAGACTATTTAAATAAATTACTTCACTGAAGTCAATTTTTATCTTTCTCATCTCCAGTCCCATATAATTCATTTACTTTAAACTCCTATGGCTCATATATTCCATATATTACACTTTCCTATTATTTTTCTCCCAAATTTGAATGACAGGGTAAGGCTCCCAGTTTATATTCATGATACTGTGAATCATTACATTGCATATTTGTTGTTTCTCCAGTTTGTCTCTGAGTCCTCATCTTCATCATTGTATACCTAAAATAACTAACACAAAACCAAGAACTTACATACTCATTGTTGATTTGTTATCTTGAATCATCCACCATAGTGTTAAAAGTAAGAACTATCCTTAGTAACCAAAATACTTATTGAAAGTTCCAGTAAAATTTCAGAATCAATTTAGTCTTATTATTTATAACTGTTTTTGCAATTTATGGGAATAAGTCATAAAAGTTGAATTGGGGGGCCAGTTATGATGTAAGTAGAATATCAAGAGAAAAGATCACTCATTGCCTTGCCTTTTCCACATCGCCCAGGCCCTCAGTGTCCAGAAGTATCAGGGTGTGGTCTATCTTGGAGGGATGAGGTACACACCACATCCAGATGCCCTTAGTTTCAGCCTTCACTGTGCAACCCAGCTGGAAACCTACAAAAAAGAAGAGGAAGCAGATATTCCAAAAATATAAATTTCTGACTGAATTTATTTGCTAATTTGAGAGCTTATCTGGGACCAAGGTGGCTTCCTTTTCAGCAAAGACGGTAGTCCAAGGCTGGAGAAATAATATACCAGGTTTGGATCTGCCATTTTACTGGCTGAAAAAAAAACAGCCCTGGATCACATTTCCCAAAGAATGTGATACTGCTAAATCTTCCCAGGTAGACTGGTCTGGGCTGAGAAATCTGGGGTCTTCTTGAGATGGGAGAGGGCAGACTCCCCTTTCTGCCTGAAGGCACAGCAGGCTATAGCCATATCTGACACCCTCTGACACAGAAATGGCCCAGCTTCACCACTGAACTTCATCAAACTGCCAAGTCACTGAATTGTTCCAGAACGGTAGTTTCTAGACTATGTTTTGTACTTGCAAACCTGGGTTTGATTCCTGGAACCCTTATGTGATCCCCTGAGTAAACCCTGGGTACCACCAGGTCTGGCCCCCTATCTGAAGGAAAATAAATATAAATAAAAACTATAGTACACTTTTACACAGAATAAGCACTTGTTCAAGAAAAAATTTTTAATTTTTCTTTATTTTATGTAGAAATGTTTTAAATTTTGACCCTAAAATGATAATTTAATTAAAATAACAGGCCTTGTAAATTAAGATTTAGCATCAGATATATCAGTCAGACAAAAAGCATGCAAAGAAGCTGTGGAACATATACTTCTATGCAGAATATCTATTATATTTATAATATCTATTTATAGCTATTTATCTATTTATAGCTGAAGAAGATAAATTTGTCAGTTTAAAATTTATTTTTCCTTTACTGCTTTCCTTTTCTATTTATGTTTTCTAACTTGTAAAGTTAATGCTCTTTAACCCTCTTACTGTCAGTTGGTTCATCTCATGCCCTGTTTATGGAGGACTGGATTTTGTAGCGATGGAGTGAATTCTGGTAAATAAGACAGGTCCCACCTTCTAGGTGCTTGCACTAGAACTTCTGTCTCGTGTTGAGCTCCTTGAAAACTTGTTTGAAACAGAAGTAATAGTTATAGTGCAAATATTTTCCATGAATTTGAAAGCTAAATATTAATTTTAAAATAAAAAAATTTTATTTAAAAAAACATGCAAAGAGAGGAAAACATAACTATTCTGAATGTTCCTAAAAAGGCACTGGGATTGTAATTTATGAGCAATTGGTAAAATTTAAATGTGATATGGTGTCATAAAGGAATCAAATTCTGATCATCCACATACAGTATTAAAGGGATTTTTATCTTAATGGACCTGTCATTCTTGGGGTGATATTAGTTCTACTGCTTAGCACTACTGAAGAACAGCTATAAACTGTACATTTGTACCAGGATGTAAGAACAATGTTCATGACAAAATAATTTATTCAATATAAAAGATAGAATTTATACAATATAAAAATAGAAATACAACCAATATTAATCAATGTCAAGTGAGTAAGTAGTGTTATCTTTTGACAATTCACACTTAGAAACAGTGAAAATAAATTACAGGGACATATGACAACTAGATGGATTTTATAAAATGCTTTTTGAAAATAAGGGTAGTAAGCTCCAAAGAACATCAGGGTCTAAGTCCCTTCTTATGAAATTTAAGTAAATTTTTTAGAAATATGTACAGATGATAAAATTTCTTCTTAGAGAGGAAATATGAAAGATATACCCCAATGGTGAATGTTTGGTAAACTCAGGGACACTCTCTGAGGGTGTGGTTTGGACTTTTGTGTTTATCTTCATTCCCTGGAGACTTTCATTTATGCCTCTCAGAGAACCCATCAAGCTATGGAGAGTGTCCTGCCCACATGGGCAGAGTCCAGGTAGCCCCCCCGGGGTTTATTTGATATGCCAAATACAGTAACAACAATAAGTCTCATTACCCTGACCCTGAGAGAGGCTCCAATTGATGGGAAAAGACTAGTAAGAAGAGGCTGCTAAAATCTCTGGGCTGGGAGGAATAGAGACATTACTGGCGCCTGCTAGAGTAATTGAACGACCAATGGGTTGACAGTGATACAGTGACACAGTGATACATTGGAGATATGAGAAATTGATAAGGGTATATAGTTTAACAAAGTTTTAAGAACTAAAGCAAGGAGAACTACATCGTAATCTCCTAGAGATATGAAACATTCTGCTGTCTGTCCCTTTTAAAGCAGGATATGTTGAAAACTATTTATATGTTATTTGAAAACAGCCTATTATTTTTAGAGAAAAAGTCATCTAAAAGAGGAACTGGAGAGATAGTACAGTCAGTAGGAGTGTTTGCCTTGCATGCAGCCAACTCAGGTTTTATTCCAGTATTCCATATAGTCTCCAAAGTATCACTAGGAATGGTTCCTGAGCACAGAGCCAGGAGTAAAACTTGAGCATAGTTGTATGTGGTCCAAAAATAAAACAGAAACCGAAACCAACAAAAAATTCATGTAGAAGAAAGGAAGCGATTATTTGCTGTCACTGAGCTCCTGGAAGCTGAGTGGATGGGATCAAGTCAAAGGGATGGATAATTTAATTGGGCCTGGAAATCTTTATTGCTCAGACAGATGATTTAGAATTTGTGGGCATCTGGGTCTGAAGTTATAAATGTTCCCTTGAGAATTAGAATTTTAATCAGAGTGCTTAGATTCTTTCTCAACATGATGTGAAAGGAAAAGGCATGCTCAACCTTTGTTATTAGTGTTTTCATGAAAATGGCTCCCACTGCAGAATATCACTCACCACGGTTATGTCCAGCCAGGCGGTTCATTAGGTAGGATTTACCTGTCCTACATAGCCCTGTAATGGCCACCACCACCACTGGCTGAGATATAGTCTCAAGAATATTCAGTGCTTTGCGATTTACTCTCAGATCATTTTTGTAGTTTTCCACCAGACAGATGGGGTCCTTCATGATAGGTCCCTTTGACATTGTAAGCTGTGAAACATAAAAAGAATTTAACGAGATCTCAATATGTCTTAATGGACACACAAATCATGCTTCTCTTTTCTCCATTCTGCACTTTTCTATATTCATATGTTTCTAAAAGTTATTTAATCTAATGTATCAGGTCTGATGCACATTTTTCTTTTTTACCTTAAATATCCCTTAAAACAAACTTGTTCTGGGGGCTGGAGCAATAGCACAGTGGGAAGGGTGTTTACCTTGCATGCGGCCGACCTGTGTTCGATTCCCAGCATCCCATATGGTCCCCTGAGCACCGCCAGGAGTGATTCCTGAGTGCAAAACTAGGAGAAACCCCTGAGCATCACTGGGTGTGACCCAAAAAGCAAAACAAACAAACAAACTTGCTCTCCTGATAGAGTGAAAACAAAAATATAAACCAAGCAATGGTGATGATGAGAGCAGGTTGTATGCTTCTATATCCGAAGCAGGGCACTTGACTGAAGGTCTAGGTGGATATTGGAGAAGCAGATAGTCCCAGGCAGGAGCTGTCTCAGGTAGTGGTCTCTGGGTCAGAGGAGAGTGTGCTGACTAAAGCAAATTGTCCTACTGGTCCCATGTTAATGGGTTCGGTGTTGCCTGAGTTGTCTTCCAATTTTCTAGAGGAGGTTTGCACTTGTGTTATTTGAAATAAATCATCTCTGCATCTGTTTAATCTGGAACTGTAATTTTTATATACCTTCAGAGGTGTAATTTGAGTAAATTGTGGCCTTTCACCCACTTCATCACAGACCTCAATTATTCTATTTTTTATAATTTTGACTTTCATACAATATAAATTTAGCAAATTTATATAAATATGGTAAAAATTTTATAACAATGATCATTTCTTAAGCCATTTTTACTGAGTTACCAGGATTTAAAATACTGCTAGTTTATGCATACAGTGCTCCTATACTACACCCATCACCAGAATCGGATTCCTACCTCTGCCCCAATTTTTGTTTGAGTCAACTGAAATGTGCAAATAAGCTGGTGGTTAGGGAGGATTATGGTGGGCTGGTACACAGAGATGGGTGGGGGAGCTATCAACCAATTTTAAGAAGTTGTAAAAGTAAGGTATGATGTGAAAAAAGAATTTCTCTTGTCAGTTCCCAGCTCCAGACTGATGCCAACCCACGCTCCAGAGCTGGAATCACCAGGAGACTGTTAAACCGTGTTTGGGATAGAAGTGAGAGATCACTCTGTGATGCAAAAGCTAGGAATTTTATTTCTAGCTCAAGCTAGGGTCTGAGTCTCGTCAATGCAGTGGAGTCTTGACAAAGATCCTGACTAATTTTTTCAGCATTTTATACCACAGGGTTACATAAGCGTCTCCCAGTCTTTATGGTTCACAATGAATTATATAATGGTTTGTTTTTGGTGTTGGCCCTACTGGTTCGGCGATCATTGATTGGATGAGCCCTCCTGATGGGCCCTGGAACTTTCCAAGGGGAATCTGGTTGACTAGTTTCATATTGTTCTAATTTGGGGGAAATGGAAACTTAACTCAGGTTCAGGAACCTAACTCAGTTTCAGGAACTGAGCCTACGGCCAGCTGGATTCTTTTTACTTTTGCTGCCTATCTGGGCGTTGCCACTGCTTATGGTGTGACTCATTTCCTCACTCCCCCCTTTTCTTGTGGCTTCAATAGTAATCATACTCTTGTATGCTTAACTGTGCTCTGGACTGTGGATTCCTGGCCAATCCAGTGTATTGCTGTCTTAAGACCATAAGCTGTACTGTATTTATTTTGCCCTTAAGACAAACCATGAGCTTGTTCAGGATAAAATATGCCTGTAGCACAATCTTTAGCATAAACACAATTCAGGAGGACTGGAATTGGCAAAGTTGGAAGGGGACAAGCAAGAGGTTACGTGCAAGCAAGCCAAGTATTTTTGGGTCCCTGGTATAGGGGCTCTTCTAGATAACCTGTGGTATAATCACTGGGAGGACACTCTATGCTTTTGGTTACAATAGGCTTGGTAGGTCCCTGAACAAACATATGTCCCAGCATGGGCCATAACTGGCACAGATCAAGGTTAATTCTACCTGTCTCAGTATCAGAAAGTACTCAGTGCCAAAACTGGGACAAGTAAGGAGCTAGCTCCACAGCTGTCACTAGGAGCGAGCAGAAACAGAGAAAAACAATGCCCCTCCCAGGGTTCCTTTAAGTCACTTTCTTCAGTCTTATCTTGAGGGGTTCTTCTGCCATTGTCTGGACACGACACTGGTCAGTGTCGTTCTGTCTCCAAGCGGGAAGGCAGCTTTTACATGTGAAGCCTGTGATATTCTTTAAAAGGGGTACTATCATATGATGGAACAAGAATTAAGAGCAGTTCTCTCCAAATGATTATATATATTCATAGAACTAAGAATGAATACTTAGATCTAGTTTAGCTTGCCCACTCTCCGTGAGCAATTTCAATTGACAAGACAGAGAGAGCAATTGATCCTGCCCTTTGTGCTGAGGTTCCCCCGGTTAAAGCTCTGGCTTCCACGATCCTTGCCAGGCTAGTGACAGTATGTTTTGGATTACCTAAGGAGGTTACCTTTTAAATCAAAATTAAATACACTTATTTAATCACCTTTGTAAAATTAGAATCTGATTCTTATAAAAAGCAAGTTACAGAAACATGATTCTCTCTTCCTTCAATTTAAATTTGCCAGATGTCTTAAACCTGGCTCGTTCTTTTGTATAAACACTGCAAGATTAGAACCTTTCCATTTGGGGTACCCTGTTACTGAAAAGTCCTGAGGGTTGGTCAAAGACAGAGTAGGAGATACACCAATAAGAGCATTTAGTGATTTGCCTCACATCAGGGCTACCCCAGGCTCAGTCAGAAGATCAGGTCCCACAATGAACTAGAGGCAGAGACTTCAGGTTGAACTGGATGTGGTCTCAAGCCTCTCACCCTCCACAGGAGTGTCCTGACAATCAGTAGTCCTTCCCATCCCTTCTTCAGGGCTGGGAGAGATCCCAGCCTCTTGTTTCGGGACACTGAGGCCAGGGCCAAGGCTGAGTCAGTCATTGTTGATTTCCAGCTTTCTCATTTTCCCTGGCACAGTCCTTCCTTGAGCCAGCCTGCCTCTAGGATCTCCCTGAGGTTTGTAGGGCACTTGAAACAGTAACTGTTTAATACCTACTCCTGTCATTTACACTAATCTCCTGAGTCTTTCCCTGGAAGAGAGCTTTTGGGGTCCCATAGCTGGTTTTCCTGCCTGCACTAGGAATAGACCCTATTGCAGAAAGAAAAGGCTTTTATCTGGGTTTATGCAAACATACATAGTGCCAGGAAACATTAACAAACCTGCTGAAGGTACATAGGAGAGAAAATCACCTATTTCACCCTACTCAAAATGAGATGTATCCATAGATATTTGCTATGGATCCTAGTCAAAATAAGCACTAAATTCTGTAGTAATAGAATATATAGTTTAACAACGTCATGTCTAACTCATATAGTTCTATCTTGAAAACCTTGATTTTCAATTGTCTAAGAGCTATGTAACAGGAGCCTAGATACTAGAACAATTCTGTAGATAATTTAGATATTTAGAGTTTCTTATAACAGTATAGTTTGATTATATTCTATTTCTACAGAACTTAATGCTTCTTTTGACTAGGATCCATAGTAAATGGTTATCTGTCTCAGAAACCCATAATTCTGGATTTAAGATTTGGGAGCTTTGCCACCATTTCTGCCCTGAGGGGAAAGGGTGTTGCTCCCTTCTGCCCTTTTCCCTATGGAAAGAAAGATGGCAGCCGCTTCGGAGCTTTATGGAAAGCCAGGTATGAGCCGTGATGTGGCGACTGAAACCTCATGGGAAGGGTGGCGTTCCCGGCATGTCCTTCACACCCTACGGAGGTCACAAATTGCTCCCCCACGAACGGCTCTCTGGCATGGCCATGGCTCCAGAGCACAGAAACCAATCTTATAATTATCTGACTCTCAGCAGAAATACTTCCAGGCTTAATAATTAAAATACCAGAAATCCAAAATTGCACGGCCACTAATGTGGCCGCGCAACATTATTTGATTCTTGTAACCAGCTATAGAAAACCCATTATTTCACCATGCCTTTTCAGCATGTCTGATTTGGGGGTGTAAACTCTAAATAATAATGGTGCATCTTTTGTTGAAACAATGAACCTAATCAAAGTAGATAGAGTGTTAACTAGAATTCATCTGCCTCACAGGCATTGGGAGGGTTGGGGGGGGTTATTGGGGTTCTTGGTGGTGAAAAATAAGTATTGCTGAAGGGAAATATGTTTCATAATTGCATGGACAAGACTTAAACCTGAAAGCTTTGTAACTTTTCCCACAGTGATTCAATAAAAAAAAAAAAGATTTGGGGGCTTGTTCCCTAGGATTCCTGAGTGCAAAACTGAACAGACCACGTCTCGGTATAGTCTTGTTGAGACCTAGAGGGCTGAGTAATGGAACTCAGAATTGTGCCTTGTCAAAAGATAAAGATATCAAGCTTTCCTGCTAGAGTTTAGACCAGCTTTCTTTTTACTGAATTAGAAAAAAAGTCATTTTTAAAATTCAAGTGGCTAAGAGCAGCCCATTTTGGCTTTAGTGGTTTCTGAGAATGGAGAATTTTGTGGGTGAGGCGCAAGGCCATGAACCGCCCCAATACCTGCGGCGATGTGAGTCAAGTGGAAAACAACTAGTCTGTTCTCTTTTACAAATTATTTTTAATTAGTCTACACACTAACTTTATTTCGTCTAAGCTTTGTTACCAGGTATCAAACTAGTCTTGACCTTAAGAGTAATGGTTTATCTACAAGTAATGGAATCCTTACTGTTTCATGATGATCTGTGAGTGTATTAACTCTTCTTTATCGGTTTCCTTAGAAATTGGAAATCTAAAGATAAAGTTTCTAATGTCAAGTAAATTTTTGCCAAGTAGATATATGTTATAAAGATCTTTTATTGTGAACATTGTAAGCCTTCTGAATATCTATACGACTGATGTAATGC